GCACAGGGAGTAGCAGGGCCGTGTGAGCACAGGGAGTAGCATGGCAGTGTGAGCACAGGGAGTAGCATGGCAGTGTGAGCACAGGGAGTAGCATGGCAGTGTGAGCACAGGGAGTAGCATGGCAATGTGAGCACAGGGAGTAGCATGGCAGTTTGAGCACAGGGAGTAGCATAGCAGTGTGAGCACAGGGAGTAGCATGGCAGTGTGAGCACAGGGAGTAGCATGGCAGTGTGAGCACAGGGAGTAGTATAGCAGTGTGAGCAAGGCACAGGGAGTAGCATGGCACTGTGAGCAAGGCACAGGGAGGGGCATGGGAGTGTTAGCAAGGCACAGGGAGGAGCAAGGCAGTGTGAGCAAGGCACAGGGAGGAGCAAGGCAGTGTGAGCAAGGCACAGGGAGGAGCAAGGCAGTGTGAGCAAGGCACAGGGAGGAGCATGGCAGTGTGAGCAAGGCACAGGGAGGATCTCAGTAATGTGACAAGGGTACATAGGGTGACATAAGACAAACAGACATCTCGTCCAGAGTCAGGAGGGACCACAAAGAATTTTGCTGTGTGAGGAGGTCAACCTCAAATGCAAGGCAGTGTGGGAATCACAGAAGTTACTGAACGGAATCACAAAGGTTGCAGATTTAACTGTGGCTGGAATTGTCCCTATTTTGCTTAGATTTGTATTCCATAGATGAGACTTCTCCGGCTTATTTGGGATCTTAAAGCATTGTATGGTAATAAATGTCTACGTTCGTATATACCAGGTGTTTTTGTTCCCCTTAGTGATCAGCCGAGTGTTATCTTTATCATCCAACCCACACTAGAGAAATGACAGCTGAATTTGGGATGCTATAGGCAATACAGGCATTTTATTTTCTTAAAGCCTTCAGTATATTGTCTGTTTGTCAATATGTCAGCTATATCCTGCCCTTGGTAAGGTGCCCTTGGTAATTTGATAGCTGAGCCATGTAATCCTCATGGGTACTGTTAGTCTGTATTTAGCACTGTATCTAAGACTGATGAACCTCAGGGAAACACATGCATCATAAACCCATTTATTTCTATAGAAACCCATCCTTGGTTAGTTGTGTCCGACACGCAATGCTGAGCAGGGAGCAGGTAACTGTACGAGTGATGTTCCCGTCCTCCGGCCTTCCAGGTTTTGTGCCTCACCATCTCTCTGTCTCTGCAGGTCGCCAGGCTTCTCATGCAGCATGGCTGTGATGTAAATCTGATTGACAAGCAAGGCCGGACTCCCCTCATGGTCGCTGCGTGTGAAGGCCATTGTGGTACTGTGGAGTTTCTTCTGTCCGAGGGTGAGAAACTGTCTCTGAAGTATAGAAATGGAAAGCTGAACAGCAGTACCATAAAATCTGTAATCAGCTGTGACACTAAAATTTAAGAGCGCCATGGACTAAAGGAACAATAGGATTTATGATTGGACTAAAATGGTCTTTAGAATATATATTTATATATATGGTTTGCATTTATTTTGAGAACACTACTGATGTTCACAAATTGTTACATGCTAAAGAATAGGTACCTTCTTCAGCATGTAACAATTTGTCAACATCAGTAGTGTCTCCATGCCAAATATTGGGTATAGCTCTACTAACGATCTTTCATTTGTGTGTTAAGAAATTACTATTTCACTACCTTGAAATCGCTACTTTAGCTGCTAGTAGAGTTTGTCTCATGAAAGCACCCATTGACATCCTGTATCTCTGGGGTTTTCAGAAGTGACATCAAAGTTGCCATGGCCTGGCGCTCTGCTCCTTCTGCTGCACTCTCTGCAACATAAACTACTGTACATGCATGATGCAGCATGGCGTCCCATCTGCTGTATTCGTTTCTGAGCCCTTCTTGAAAATATCTAATAAAAAAAAATATTGTCAGGCCGAAACTGAAAATGACTTTTTTTTTTTTTCCCCAAACTTTTTAAAATGTTTAAAATCATTTTTATCTTTTAATGTTTTTACTTTACTGTCATGGGCTCTGGGGGAATATCGGGGGTCTAAACAGATCCCTGATATTTCCCTTTTAAAATAGAAAAAGAGATCGAGGACACAGAGTACTAAATCTCTTTTGCAGCCACTGTTCTAAATGAACAGGAATCCTCTATACTGAGTGTTCCTGTTAATTCATAAACTGTGACGATAGTATGTTACTATGTCCACAATCATGAATGAACAGGAAGTGATGTAGAGTACTTCCTGTTCATTCATACATGGGGACACAGTAAGCGTACTATGTCCTCAGTTATTTACAAACACTTAGCGATCAGTTCTGATCACTGAATGCTGGTAACCCACTCTCCATCCTACTTTGCTGTCACAGGAGGCTGAGCGGCGCAGTGCGGGAGGAGAATTGGGCCTCCTGTGACAGCTGTCTTCTCCCTGCACTGCCCAACTCAACCTCCTGACAGTTTCTCCCCGCTCTGAGAGGGGAAGCCCAGCCTCCTTGAACTGCATGGCTTCAGAGAGCTTCATTAACAAGAGAAACACTGCCACCCCAGTATCCAGCACTTGTGGCCACAGGTGGCTTTTCCTGAACCCTCCATGGAGAATGTCTATAAGAATGCTTTCTCCAACAAGATTTTACTTCAATGGATGTTTGCTTTTACAGCCATGTGAGCCTGTTTATTTAAGCTCTGTCCCTGTATGATGACTTTCATCATCTGCATACTTGTTCTGTGTCAGTTTCTCAAAGTGCAGAAGGAAAAGGTCTGTATGACAAGCCGACAACTAGCTTTTTTAGTAGCAGGAGGCAACAGTTCATGCCAGGCAGCATTTATGTTCTTGTCAGAACAGGTTTCCATTAGAAAGCAGTGATGAATCTTCAAAGCTTTTGCCTGTCCCAGGACATCTAGTTTTTCTAGAACTCTGTCATTGAAGCTGATGACCGTAAGGGTAAATGTGACATCATCTATGTAACCTCCTTTGTTTTGTGGGGTTTTTTTTCCCCCCTTAGGTGCAGACATCGTTGCAGTAGACAAGGAAGGGTTAACTGCCCTGAGCTGGGCCTGTCTCAAGGGTCACAGATCCGTGGTCCAGTGCCTCGTAGAAAGAGGCTCCAGCATTGACCAAATGGACAGGAACGGCCGCACACCTCTGGACCTGGCTGCCTTTTACGGAGATGCCGAAATTGTACGTTGAAGTATTAAATATTTAAACGATACAGATATGTTGAAAGGTTCACTTGATGTATTATCCTTCCAGCTATGTTTAAGCAACCTTCTGGTGTTATAAACACGGGGCCGCTGCTACTGAAATTCATATCTAATCTTATATTTACATAGTGTGCAGATGCCAGCCGCTTTATTCCTTCTCTAATAGGTCCCATTGCATTAAAGATGCGCGCTGTGCGTTATAAAGAGGCCTCCCCCTTCCCATGTGTTTGTAGATAGTAGGATGAGTACAGTCTTCTCTTCATGGAAGTTTATCTTTGCTGGCCAGCGGAGGGGGAGCAGCAGATACTATGCAGAAGACCTCATTCCCTGTGCTGACATCACACATACACAGCTCTGAGTAATTAGGACAGTTACTATTAAGCCCTCCCTTACTGTTGTTGGCACGGACAGGTGATAAGGAGTGGAATTTTCAGCGTCTTTTCATAAATCTACACTGGATATATTTTGCTTGTTGCGTGTTTTGATAGATATTGGTCTTAAAGGAGAACTATCAGGTGAGTGATTTTCACTCAGCCTCATAGTTCGAGCCAACGTTAGACAATGAAACTGTCACACGTCCGCTCTATAGATCGCGAAGTGAGTGAACACAAAGCGTCGCTCGCCCACTTCTCGATCCTGTCCCTGCAGAGAGCCGTGACTGTCACTCACGGCTCCCTGCAGGGATTCCCCTCTCCGATCCTCTAGCGCTGACTGGAGGAACGAACAGTGGAGGGGGCGGGTACAGCTGGCTCCCCTCCTAAATAGGCAGAGACAGCTGTCAATCATACAGCTGGGTGTATCTTGGCAGTAATGTCGGGATCCATTCCGGCTGCAGCGGGCTCAGTATACCGCAAGCTACTGAGCTTTAGGTCATGGGAGGACGCTATTTTATGTCCTCCAGTGACCATGAGGAGAACTATGGGGAAAAACACTTACCCCATAGTACTCCTTTAATCTTTCCATTTCATGCCAGCAACAGATATTTTGGATAAATCCCAGGAACCCAGTAGCTGCATATCTTGAGAAAATTGCTTTTATATCTGTTTGGGTTACTCTCCAGTTGTATACTGTTTTACTGTTTTTGTTTTCTTGCATTAAAGGGTCAGTCCACCAAAAGAGATATCTTAGCTTTGGGTGGATGGTGGTGGACTAGAAGAATGCACAACTGGGAATTCATTATTTTACTGACAAGTGATAAAGGTTGCAGGAAGATTCTGAATGTAGAGCAAATTGTCCTCCTGTGTGGACACCATTCTGTAGACGCTAAATCCACATATGGGCCACACATTAGTAGACGCTGACAAAATGTAGAGTGCAGGAACAATGATGACCAAGCAGTGGAGGGGTAGAGCATTTACAGCTTAAGGTAAAGTGTATGAAAAGCCAAAACATTATTATTTCGTTTTGGACAGAGTAGGGTGTAGTTAAGGCCCTTTCTTTTCTGTTTGGGAGAGATTTCACTTTCTATCCCATAGACAAACAGGAAGTGAGAGGAGAGCTCTCCATAGCAAAGATATATATCTCTCTTAGACAACAGTCAGGTTTGCCCATTGGAAGGTTTCCTTTTACAGTACCTTCTATTCCTGTGCCAAATCACAAATGTTGGGTTCTTCATTAGTTTCTGTTACAGAGATTAAGGCCACCATGACGCATTGAAGGGAAGAATCTCTCCAGCAGTGACACCGGCAGAAATAAACACTTGTCAGAGGGTCCAACCCTTCCACATTTTATCCAAAATGTGAAAATAGAGTAGTTTTGGTTTTACATACTCGTCTACCAAGAGTTGGCTATCTGCTACTCAAATACCCAACTAACTAACTCTGTCTTTAACTGTGTGGAGATCTTTTGACATCTAAAGATTGTTCTCTGTTTATCCAAAGTTATTATTACTAAAGCTGTCACACACATCACAATCTGATTGTTCAATCTCCAGGTCTGCCTAATTTGAGTATAGATTATTTAGATCACATGCGTTAAACTCAAGGCCTAGGGGCCGAATCCGGCCCTCCAGGCCATTTGCTAGACTTCTACTTTCAGATCTAGGTATTAAGTTATTACTAAAACCAGTGATAATGGAATGCAGAGGCAATTATGATAAAGATTAGATACATTTATATAGTCTTACAGATACCTTTGAGGGTAACCATAATACATTGTTTGGATAGGCCCTGGCACTATACAGTATAGATGCTGGTATATCTAAAGGAAATTTCACAGTCCGACTGTAATGTGTGTTGCCGGCTTCACACAGATCTGCAGTTACTTTTAGATGGTATCATATACTGTATAGGAACTTATTGCCTGCTCAGATACATTAAACAATGCCCTTACATTGTATGTGATGTTTAAAACTTTTTCTGATGTTCATGATTGAACATGTCGATTACAGTGGAATGCGTCCGTTGGATCGAGCCATAGGATGCCGAAACACAGCCGTCGTTGTGACTCTGCTGAGAAAAGGAGCCAAGCTAGGTAATATGTTCTGTTCACCCCAGCATGGCGCAGAAAAGGGAAATGTTGAAATTTGTTCCCTTTTGCTATGTTAAATGTACCATTGAATGTGTTTTGTGATATCTTTCAAAGAAGCACAAAAAAAGGTTGATCCTGCCAGAAATCAATGTGAGTTGATAAGATCCTGTGATGACTGTTATAAGTTACATTGTCCCAGCTCTCTCTGTGTTCTGTAGTCCTAATACACTTCCAGTCCTAGGGTGAGGACACTGCACTTCGTTAGGTACAGTATGCTAAGTGAAGGTTGTCGCCCTGACCGGAAGTGTGTTACTGGCAGGATCACCAGGTGAAGGTGAAGGACTAAAAAAATGAAACCTAATGCAGCCGCCATATCTAAGGAGTACTAGGCTGCCATATATGACATCTTTTCTGGGTATACATACCGTTTAGAGGCCATTCCAGGTTACATGCAATTCAGTTTGATTGTTTGAAATACGCCACTATGGGGCACCTCACACACCAGCTGAAAGTTGAAGTTATGTTTGCAGTGGGAGTGGCGGCTCTCTGAGCTGATGGACATGACGGGAATTTACTTGAATGAGCTTCTAGGGGGAGAGAAGTCAAGATGAGTGTCTTCAGTGGTACAAAGTCAAGGCAGTAGGTGAAGCAATGGCATGGTGTCTGCAGAACTGCATCCTATGAAGTGTTGTTTCCCTTCTTATATAAGCAGCCATAGAGCACAGCAAGGTGTGTCTGGATCACAAGACTTTGCTCATTCATTTGTAAATCTTTTATCAGAAGATGAAAGCTTTTTTTTTTTATCAGCCTGGCTGGAGTGCTTGAAAGTAGTCACTCCTTGTACAGCTATATATACCGTATATAGTAGTGTGGTTGTAGACACAGGGCAGCACAAGCTCCTATATTGTCTCATTACTGTTTGTAACAATATATTTCATGACATAAAGTGTCACTTGGAGGAAGCTGATGTCATTTTCCTGTCCTGCTGTCTTATTGTGTCAGACACATCTGTTCAATCTCGCTCTGCGTTCAAGGAAGCGGCGAGCGTTACGCTAACACATGATTTATATGTGAAGTAATGGTATGGAGGTCACTGCGTGGTACGCTCGCTCCTTTTAGACTTTGGACTATTATTGTTTGTGAAGTTTAAAGAGACACTGCAATCAAAAATAGGAAACCATGTCAAAAGTATGGTGTACATAGAAGAAAAGTAATTCTCTCAGGTCAGCTTTAATAAATACCTGTCCAGCCTTCAAACCTGACTGTATACTAAGGCCTTTTAAGAAATACGTTCTTATCAATAGTTTTTAGGCAACTCTCAGTAAAATGGAAATCATGGAAAATGTGCATCTGCAAAGAAGGTATTTGGTGTTCATCTCTACCGCTGCCCGCATTGCCAGTTGCTGCTCTATTGCAGAGAAGCTGCTTCTGGTCTGACACTTCTGGGATTGTAGGGTTCCTGGCACCACCACACACTGCCATTCCCCCCAGTCGACCCCAACATGACTACAGAACATAGTAGGTGCCGGCGGGAGGAACCACAGCATATGGGGTTGGGGCAGGCAATGAGGAACCTGACAGTCTCGCATTTAGGAGACTCTTCCAGCAGCAGCTTCTATACAGCAGTGATGCGGGCAGAGGTCCAGGTATTAAACATATTGTACAGCGGTACCTCGGTTCACGATCTTAATTTGTTCCACGATTCTGGTCTCGAACCGAATCAAACTGTGATCAGACCACAATCTCGACTAGAGGAAGCCACGACCATGTGTCAGAGCGGGGAAGATGGCTGCGGTTGTGTTCGTCACCTCGTGTGGAGTTCATGAACGGAAGCAAAATTTTGCCGAACTTCCTGTTTGCGAACCAAATTGTTCTCTAACAGAAGCGTTCGTGAACCGAGGTACCACTGTATTTGCAAGGGACTCGTTTTTGGCTGTTTCTATTTTAGTGACAGTTTCTTTAAAGTTGAGCTCCAGGCAAATGGTTAAAATACTCCATACAAATGCACATATGTTCACATTTCTACCTACTGAAGGATGTGTCATTTTGACCTGCCATCTTGTCATACACACCAGTCATAGACCCTACCGGCCCTCTTCTAGATTAAAGCTGTATATCTCCGAGCATCCTCCCCTTCTGTTATTATTTCATTAAAGCAAACATTGAACGTGTTGAAACCTTTTTTACACATTTTATTGAACTTCTATCTTACAGGAAATGCAGCTTGGGCGATGGCGACTTCTAAACCAGACATCTTGATCATTCTCCTGCAGAAGCTAATGGATGAAGGCAATATCTTGTACAGAGTAAGTTCATTACTGATTCAGTGATCTGTTCATGTGTTGTATGGGTTTAACTATACAAATAAAACTCACAACACATTAAATAGAAGTATTTTTTTTGCATATTGAAGATATCTCTATACTCACCGAATCTTTTATACCTTAACATTGCACATGTAGGTAGCCATTTTTTGGGCACAGTCAGCATTCCTAAAAATTCAGTCCGTTCATCATCAAGTGTAGTTCCTGTGTACCAGTGATCTCCGTGCTGAGTAAATCAACCCACCTTTATATCGCATCCCTGCTTAGTTTGTAGTCTTAAAATAGATCTTGTGCTTGACTCTGGTGGGGAGATTGTCCCTCCCTTTTTCTCCCTGGGACACTAGGGGAAAAAAAGTAAGAGGATCTGGTGTCACTGGGGCAGGAAGCCACCAATTGCAACAAAACCCTAACGGTCGGTAATCTTTTCAGACTCAACTAAAGGAAAAAAAAGTCTGTTGTCCCCATTGACACTCTGTGCCTGGCACAGGAAGTAAGGAAAGATGTTTCCGGCAGGGAGAGTGGCACTAACCCTTCCCTGCTTGTTCCAAAACTAGAAGAAAGCTTTTGGTTGAAGTTTGGCTTTAAGCACAGGCAGCGTCTCCAGAGAAGTGTTTTGATTCTGTTTGCTCCAATGGACCATAGAACATTATCAGATTCAGCCACACTTCGGTGTTGTCCAGGGCTGGAGCAGAAGTTCAGGTTACATTTTGGGCCAGTTAAGTAAATATTCACCCTTCCTCACTGATTGTTGTTCTTGTTTCCCGCAGAAGGGGAAGATGAAAGAGGCTGCACAGAGGTACCAATACGCTCTCAGGAAGTTTCCCCGGGAAGGTTTTGGAGAAGAAATGAAAGCTTTCAATGAGCTGCGTGTGTCCCTCTACTTGAACTTGTCCAGATGTCGCCGAAAAACAAATGTGAGTAGAGAATAATGTTGAGGTTTCCCAAAGAAAGGTTGGATGTTTTTTGTTCTGCCCCGCACCCCCACACTCTGCCCACCATGACCCTTGAAAATGCCAAGTACTTCCGGGTATGGAGGAGCATGTGACCTCATCCCGTTCCAGTGATAGCACAGTTCCCAAGTGGCCAGTCGCAATGTCCAAGCACTGTTACATGGAGGGGTTGCGGGTTCTTAGCCCTCCGTAAATTCCGAAAGTGAACTTTTACAGTTCTTTTCTCGGGTCTCTGGAAAATGAAGTGGGTGGTGGAGGAACCTGAGAAAGGTTACTTTCAGCGATGGGGGGGTGGGACAGTTTCAGTCTGCCCTGAATGGGCCAAGAAACAAATCTATTGTTAGAACTGCTAATCTAGAGAAGTAATCCAGACAATAAAAGAATTGGCGATGGTACCGATACACAGGCATCCAGTCATTTTCAGCTATGGCCAGGTGTGATTATCCTAGGGTGAATAACGTCAATGATTATACAAGGACAACATATATACATGTAATGCAGCCATCATCCCGCAGCATTCCTTTCTATATCCAGCAGAGTATCTGTTAGGGACAGCCCAATACAACTCCTCAGACAGGAATTTATTTGGGCTTCAATAATAAACTGCTGGGGTATTTTTTCTGTCCTAATACTGGCAAACCCAAAGTTTTTTTTTCTAAAGTGGGGTCGTGCCAATATAGTTCTCCCTCTGGAAGGGCAGGTGAAGGTCATGTTGCTTGTTTTTCAGGAGGATGCAGGTACAGACCCTCTTCGTTCACAGGATCCCTCACCTAGTGTTTGTGTTGTGAAGGGGCCTCAGGTACCGTATCCTTGTACCCCAGTGTTTGATACTTGCCGTGTTGGCTTTGTACATTGCAGTGATGTACTTATAACTCTTACTGCACTAATATGTATTTACTGTTCATAATCTGAGAATAACATTGTTTGGCATTGACTTGCATGGACCCAGAATGAGAAGTACAGTCCGTCAACTTATATTGCTATCTGTCCCCTTGTATAGGACTTTGGCATGGCTGAAGAGCTTGCAACCAAGGCACTAGAGCTGAAACCAAAGTGCTTTGAAGCTTATTACGCCAGGGCAAGAGCTAAGCGAAACAGCAGGTAAAGCACCTTTCTTTTTTTGTTCAGTGAAACTCCAGTTCTCCCCGTGTGACTTGTATGAATTGCAGGGTTTTTAGAAAACATTTGCAGTCCTGTTTTGGAGATATTGATGTAAGCAGAGCATTTATCAAACCGACTTCTAAGCTGGATCAGTCACTTTGCTAAAGTAAGAAAACCAACAGCCTCTGCATCTCTTTACTCTGTAGTGGAGATGAGCTCAGGTTCGGAGTCCTTCTGAACCCAGATGGGACCAACCGTCAAATCACCGGCAGGCCAGGGCATTTCCCACTCCACAGCTGCACATAAAGGGGTGGGATATTTGTGCTGTCCTCATTGGCTTTGTATGGCCATATTCGGTCAGTCATTGACCATGTGGCTATATAAGGTCTGTGATGTCACAGCATCCCGCCCCTTTGCTTAGGTGCAGCTACGGAGCCGCAACTGATTGGGCGGCAGCAGAGGGAGCTTCCGTCCAGGTTCAGAGATCTCTGCAATGCCTTTTGCAGGGGATATGTGTCATTTTTTAAAAATTCTATACAAACTTATGTAAGTGATCCAATCTCACCAGCAGGAAATAAGAGTGGTGGGTGTGCTCTGTATTAGAGTACAGAATGACCCGCTTACTTTTTAGAAATAGCATCTGGCTGAAGAATGGAATGGAAAGGATATGTTTTTTATTCATATAATGAATGGTTTTGTATATGTTTTATGTTTACCAAAATTGTAGTTTTCCTTGTTTTAAGTCTGGTCATCCAATTTATTTATGTGCGAGTTGGGGTAAAATTTTAGCCAAGGTACTAAAGTGCTAAACACCAAAAAGTGTGGAAATTGACTCACGCAGTGCGATTTCCCTGGCTCTGTTCCAGCCTGAGTGATCCTGCTTATCTCCTTAGCAAAGCCATTGCTGAACCTTTACTTATGTGGCTGTCATGCTGATCCAGTACCTTCAATACACTTTTGAACCGGTGACCAAAAAAAGTATGGAGAGCTGGAGCTCTGGCTTCACTTGCTGAATGCTTGTTCTAGATCCATGACTCTCTGAAATATTGATGCCAGTGACAGCCAGTCAAATAGCTTTTTTTTGTTAGACGGTCAGCAGTTGCGGTACTCTGAGTAAAGGTTTTCCTTAGGCCCCATTTACACTTGTGTGGTGCATTAGGGCAGCATATTCATTTTGAATGGACTGCCATCGCACCCCTGTGTCTTTAAAATTGCCCAAAGAAAGGTTGGATGCATTACCACAATGCAAATGTGCGATTCGGTACTAGAAATCCTAAGACGGAGAGCAGGAGCCTAATGGCTGCTGCAGGAGTGTAGACATGGAGCTTAGGAGCAGAGTGTGTCACCATTGGAGACTTGAGAGATAATAGTAGCCCTTTCCTGTCTCCCGCACATTCTAATTGGCCAGTAAGCCAACATATCTTGGTTCTGGTTTATTAGCAATATAAAGAGGGTGTGACTTAGCAATATACCCCCAAGACTCACCCAGCATTGCGCAAGCTTTTTGAAGCTACTCCAGGTATGTTCACTCACGTTTGGGTGCCTTCACTTCATACCTGCAGCAGCACTTCTGTTTTTGGTCTAGGGAGAGAGTTGCTTTAAGTGATGTTTAACCCCTTCATGACTGAGGCCCTTTTTTCATTTTTTGCACCCATAGTAACGGAAAAGCAATCAAACAAAATCAAGTTGTCTTTCTTCAGTATAATGTTACTGTGACCACAAGGGTCATACCAGTAACAGTTTGGCATTTGGTGCTCGGCTTGTTCATGGTTTCTCATTGTTGTTCTGGTACCAGAAAAAATGATCACAAAGTTCTTTACGTCATTTAAACGTTATTGTATGTTTATGTAGACTGGGTCCTTTTGTACAATTTACTAAATAAAAACAATGTAAATGAATGGAAACGACTGTATGATGACAGCAGACCATTCTTCATTCTGTCTAACCTGCTTTCATCATGAAAATGACTTCTCTTGAATGGTAATTGTTTGTTTTAAGAGAAAAGTACTAATTGTACAAATGACTTCCTTGTGTCTTTTTTATTACCAATTCATAAGCTTTTGTTTTCCTTTTACAGGCAGTTTGTTGCTGCTCTCGCTGACCTAAATGAGGCTATGAAATTGTGCCCCAACAACCAGGAAATAAAGCGGCTTCTATCCCGTGTAGAAGAGGAGTTCAAACAGCATCAAAAGAGCCAACAGCAGAAACAGTGCCAGCCGCCTCCACCACCGAGCAATGATTCTGACCAAGAGGATGAAGCTCTGGAAGAAACATTGGACAATCATCTGAGCCTTCAGGAGATCCAGGAAGATGAAAGTCCTCCTTCAGACAAGCTCCCGGCAAACTCAAAGCCACAGGATGTACCAAACAACCACAGAGCTGCAGAATATATTAACCAGAAGTTCCATTCTGAATCTTCTGAGGAACATCAGGCTAAAAATGTATGCCTCCAACAAGCTCTGGTGCAAAGGCCGACAAAGCAAGCACAGATAGTAAAAACCAACCAGCACATGAATTCCCTGCAGTCTATATCTAGATCTACCAATAGTTTTTCTGCCATGAAAAACCAGTCTTCCACTCTGGCGCCTCCAAGCCCTCTTCCTCTAAGACCATCCTCTAACCAAGCCAGTATGAGAGGTCCTAATGCAGATGGGAAGCATCCTGCGTCTTCTGGAACTCACGGTTCTGCTTACAGTGAAAAGGTTCCTTCAGTTCTTGCCATCCACAGACAGCCTGGTGAGATTGTCCATTCCTATAAGGCTTCAGGTTCCTTTGTTTCTAAAACTGCGGAAAGGTTTGTGGGATTTTCTGCAGCCCAAGAAAATCAGTTTGTTTGTAAAGAAAAGCCAACAGCAGTAGCAGAGACCAAAAGAATGGCATCCCACAGTTTGACTTCAAGTAGTAGTTTTTCTGAGGGTGTTAAAGGGCCTGATGTGCGCAGCAAAGAAAATAAGCCCAACCAAATTGTAAGTGCATCAGTGGACAACAGACCGCGAAACATACCCTTCATGGGGATCATCGACAAAACCTCCAGATCCTTGCAGCCGACTGTTCCGTCTGCTCGTAGTTGGCAAAACCAAACCGACTTAAACCCCAATCCTCCGGGGACTGGGTCATCTGCAGGTTTTGAAAAGTTCACTGGTAAGCCGGCAACCAATTATGGAAATAAAAACAAGACCATGCCAAACGTATTTGGAGGGAATACTCACAATGGGGTGGTATACTCGAAGGACTTTGAGGATGGAAAGTGTCAAACGTCCAGCCTTTCTCAAGAATCCAAGGCTGTTGCCCAATCATACCAAGAGGCAATGCTGAGGTCACAATCTATCTTGGCTAAAGACTCCAATTTAGGCTCAATGTCTTCTACAAAACCAAAGCGATCATTCATAGAGTCTAATGTGTAACAAGACCAGAATTTGGGGGTTCTTTTGTATGTTTGTTTCAGGCTATTACTAGACTACTAAAGGTCCGCTTCTTCCACCTCATCCTTCCTACAGATGTTTACTTCACTTTACTGGTAAACCTCCGAGGATTGTGGATCTGCTCGGCAGTAAAACCTGCTAACAGTCTGGAATGTAAACTACTTTCTAAACATCATTATGGGAGGTATTTTTGCTCCTCTACAAACCCATAAACTACAACACTGGTTGGGTTTCCGGGAATATAAATTGTACTGGATATGAATTTGGAGAAATGAGAAAAAGCCCAAAAAAAACCCGGGAAGGCTGCTGGTCAGTACATTTTGGATTACAGTGACTCATTTGGAATTATTCATAGGAAACCGATCTATTACTACAGACAGAACCAATGCACTAGATTCCTCATGTGGGTCTTTCACTGCCTGGCGCAGATAAGGAACTTGCAGGAACCCTGGAGGACTCTTCATGTATTAGTTCTTTGGAACATTACCGACAGATGTTACTCTATGTACAAAAGAAAACACGGCTCTGTATTTTGTGTGGTATGATCCCACATTCTCCTCATTATTAGGATACTCTGTGGGCAACATGTAACAACATTCACAGATCTTCATGTACTGTACCATGATTTTACTTCAGTCAAAGCAACATTTAACTAGTTTGCAGTACATTCCACTGCTTCATTGTACAAGTGGTGCACCAAAAAGAAGTGATGCAGTACAGAGCCATGAGTCACCGTTGTGTGTGCCAGCCTTGAATTTAGTCCTAGACCTTCCTCAGGAACACAGCATGTGCAGTGGATGATGGTGCAGTTGGATGTAAATAATGGGACATGCCGTCTGCCAGAATTCTTCATAACTGGAATGTCAGTGTTATATAACATTACAGTGGTGCCTTTAAAAACTCTTTGTATTGGATTAGCCATTATATTGATGAGATTGTTTAGTCGGTGCCTTATGCTATGACTGGGAATGTAGGACGGGGATAACCCAAAATGTGAGAGATACGAATTTCCAAAGACTGGCGAGTGGGTTTTAATGGTAACTGAAAATTGGATCCTCCATAACACAGGTGAGGAACTGGCTCATTCTTATTGGAACAACAGACTAAATATATAGCCAGATATTTAAAGGGAGCTTATCGGCCTGAACATGAGGAACAGCAGACTACATAGGGCTGCTTTAAAATTTGTATTTCAGTCACTTGTAATCCAGGCCAAAGGCAAGTCAGTGATCTTACATTTCTTCACTGCAGGTATGCAATAAAATCAAATATGTTCTCTTGTCAGCAAGCTCCCAGTGTTAGATTGACCGCACTGTGCAATGCTGTAGAGTCTGATTAGCTCACAAATCTTGCCCCCGCCTCATCACTTTTTTTTTTTATCCTCCTGTGTACTGGAACATTCAGTTCGTTTCTGAACTGAGGTCCAATTTTAATTTCCTGTGAAGCCCTTTGAACGTACCATAGGCTGCCTCCAGCACATAGGGGGACGGGTTGGTTATGGGATTTATATTGTTGTGGTGACAAGAGTACTAGCCGGCTTCCTACTCAAAGTCTAAAAGAGGAAGAACACAATGTAATCATTACTTTGATGCCGGGGATAATTGTTTGGTATGCAGGTATCGGATACTCCCTGAAGGGAATGTATCAAAACTGGAGCAGCTGTGCACGGCAACCAATCAGCTTCTCTCTTTCATTTTCAAATCTTAACTGAACAAACTGAAGAGAGAAGCTGATTGGTTGCCATGCGCGGCTGCTCCAGATTTTGTCTGCTCCAGTTTCGATAAGTTCCCCCATTCTGTGTATCACTAGGATGCCAGAAAGAGGCTGCTGATGGTTTGTCAGGTTAGCTTCCTGAATTGTCATCAGGCAGTGTGACAGGGAGGGGCAGTGGGTGTGGCCTAAGACTTTAGAAGGAGGGGTTATGTTGGGAGGCAGGGCCTACATTTACATACACCATTACCTGGGTTCAATATAATTGTTATATTTCTCTTCAGTAGTTTTGAGCAGCGTTTTAACCTTTTGTACTTCTGTTTTGGTCAGCAAAAGGGTTCATATGGAAAATGTGGATCTTCTATAGCTCTGAAAATGTATATTTGACAGGAATATCCTAATCAGTTCTATTTTATACAGGGGAGTCCCATTAGGTAAGATGTAACATAATTTATGACATTTTCTATAAAGTAATCAGATTTAATAGTCGCGTGTATATATTGTATAACCTTTATTATTATTATCGAGGAAAAGTGTTGTATTGAAAGCCGGATGCGCCATGCCCTGCCCATCAATGTAAAAGTGACATGGCCAGGCCTCGGTGGACTCTGTCCTCTCCAGCCAAGGACTCCTAGCAATGGGAGCGCAGCAGATATAGATTTTATTTTTAATTCAGTGCATGCGCTCTGCAGCCCATTGGGTTATAATGGGGTCCCATCTATCCTATTACATACATGGAGATGGGGGCCACCACTATAGCAAAGGGTGCATCTGAGGTCTGGCTAGTTTTGGGAGGGCCTGGTACGTTTCTCTTTCAATACCAAACTTGTCCTTTAAGAACTCTATACCTAGCCATATCTATAGCATGCATGTTTAGGCTTCAGCCATGCTGGTTTTTGCACTGGGCTAATCTACAAACAATTATATGGCAAATATCAATTCTGGCAGTTATCGCACTTTACTCTCATTTTGTATAAACACCTCTAAGGTGCTATTCTAGGAAAGAATTGTAAATGGGCGGAGAAATGGTACCATGAGACTTCATGAGATGTATAGGGGGAAAATGGTTCTATATTTTGGAGTTTCAGCTAGGATTTTGGCCTAGTCCTGGTGGGGGAACCTTTTTATTGTTTTGGAATGGCTCAGTGGTGACGAGCTCTCCCTGTCAGTACACAAATTGCAATCTTGTGGATACCAATTGACCCGAGCAAAATGGTTACCTTTACGGTGCTTAGGTGACTGGTTCTCTTTAAGAGGACTCTATTTATATGTTCTTGTTTCTTAAATATTTCAGCATTACGGTTTAGGGTAAACGGAAATGTCTTTGCATTCTCTGTACATACACACAACGTTTAGGTTTCCTGGCAACTTTGAGGCGGAACGTACTTGTAGTGGGGTCTGGTCAATGTAAAAAAAAGATAATAAAATGTTAACAAGACATTCACAGATATGTTATCGTGTCCCCGTATAGCTTATTTATTTTTACAACTCTTTCTCTTCATTTGGCTGTAGCTATCTTTGCACATCTACTGTACTTCCATACGGAATAAAACAACCATTTTATAGAATGACGCTGTTTGGATTGAATTCTTAGGTTACTACAGACCTTCCGATGAACTTACACTGCTCACCCAGTGGAGAGGATGTACTGAAGGAGAGGAGCATGTGCACTTAGCTTGGTCTAAGCAAAATGTTTAGGTGTTGTTTGTAAGGCGATGTATTTTTTTACTTGGCTTAGTGAATGAGGTGAAGCAAAATAAATATTCACTAGGAAAAGTGATCTTGTTCTAGGACAGGGGTAGCCAAACTCCAGCTGTGGTAGAACTACAAATCCCATAAGGCATTGCAAGATTCTCACAGAAAGAGCTGCATCATGGGGATTTGTAGTTTCACCACAACTGGAGGGCCAGAGATTGGCTACCCCTGCTCTAGGAAATCAACACTAGTTAATCCCTACACTTGCTGAACAGTGGAAAAAAAACCTAGGAGGGAAGCCTCTTATGGGAAGCTGCTCAGGTTCTAGTTCACTTCCACAAGTATATAACCCAGGAGACAGAGACTGGTGTATTCTGGGAAGTGATTATTGGAAGAAGAGAACTTGTCATTAATTCCTATGCCAAGCTGATGGAGCTCGGGGGTGGGGGTGTAGTCATAGCAATTCTCTACGGTAAAGGTCTGCATTTACAGATGCACATGTTGGCCCGCTCTTGGATCTTTGTTAACATTGGAAGTGTACATTAAACAAACATAATGCTCTTGTCCGCCCCCCAAAACCTGACCACTCCATTGCAGTGCACATGTAATTTTGCACCTTAAAGGAGAAGTATTGTAAGAGTAAAATGTACTCTGCCCACTACTCAGAACCAGCGGGGGACACTGCAACTGTCACACACAGCTCTCTATACTGCAAGCTGAGCTCTCGCTTAGTTCACGGTCTTCTTCCTGCAGAGGGCAATGATTGTTGGTCATCACTCTCCACAGGCATTCCCTCCTCCCCTCTGTGCTCCTCCAGTGCTCAGGCATATACAGGGGAGAGGGCAGGCAGAGTCAGCTGTCAATCAGGCAACGGGGGGATCCTGACAATATTGTCTTCCCGGGTGCGGCGTGGCAAAAAAGGTTTGGCTTTACTTCTTTTATAATGAACATGACATTAACAGGATCAACCAACATAGTAATACAGGGGACTGTGGGGCCAGAGGAGAGAGTCTGCCCAGTCAGTACACCTAGAACATACACCGAAGAGTAATTGCCGGTTATCAGCTTGACAGCCATCCCGCTATTCATTTCTTTTTTTAAATGAGAATTTTCGGTTTATACAAATGCTGCCCAGTAATACCCCGACCACTGGCCCTGACAAAGAGCGAGTTATGATCCCCTAAAACACGTTGGCTATTTTTTACTGACCTGTTGTAAAGATGAACCTTTTACTGGACTTGAAATAATCCTGCGGTGCTCTGATGTAAGATGTAGAAATAAATGTACAGAACATGCAAAACTTGCAGAATTTTTTTTTTTTTTTTTTTTTTTATCAAGAATACATCTTAGAATAGAATCTTCTTCTTCTTCGGTTTTCTTTAACATATGCACAAATCTTCATATAAACCTTTTCTACACACAGTGCAAGGTATTCACTACATACAAAGTAGGCAGGCTGTAATCATCATCATAATCATCTTTCATAAAGGCAATAACACTTCTGGAATAAGACAAACCTCCTTCTAATCTTCAGGAGCTGGCGCTGGCTCCTCTTGTGATTCATTTTATGGTGATGTGCAAACCAAAGTAAAAAATCCAATGGACTCACTGAGACCAGTACCAGCGACATTCCTGATGTCTGCTTCTTGTTTTCTACTCTACTAAGAAAACTTAATGAAACAAAGTCAGAATTGCAAGTCAAGACAAAAAAGGGGCAGGGGGGTTAAGTCTTTAACTGGCAAAGCAGAACACATTTAGGGCATCATGAGCTGTCAGATCATTTTATTAATGGGTACAGTTTTGTTTTATGGACGTTACTAATGTATAGGACTGTACACGCCTGCAAAGGCACTCTAAAGAAGAACTGCAGAAAGGCCTAACAATATTCCAGTGCAGGCTCAGAAGACCAACAACATTTTATAGGCTCACATCAAAAAAGTTTTAACACAAGGCAAAGGCTCCATATTTAGCCATGTGACTGTAATTTTCAAATCTCATTGGACTTGGCTAAAAAATACCTGTCACTTGTTAGAAAATAGGCATCCTTATCCTGCTGTGTTTGCTTTGGGAATAGAGCCCTATGCTTGAAAATAATTAGACCTCCTCCACACCAGTCAGTGTATTACTGTATGCCATGCATGTTATTGTAATGCAAATGTCTCTTCCGAGAGACAACGATTCCACTGTTCTCTTAAGTTATGCTTCAAATCAACATATATTATATTACATAAAGGCCTCAGTTATTCAATGGTATTTACACACTCACATCTTCCCATCGGAAAGGAAATATTTCTTGATTTCTCCGATCCGACATCAAGCATAGATCCAGGCCTCTGTTTTGTGCATCATTTTGCATTAACGTTTTCAGAAAAGCAGCAGGTGACTGGGGCATATTTGCAAGAGAAAAAAAAAGCAGCCTGACCTTCATAACTTACAGAGTAAGGCTACAAGTTTTCCCTTTGACTAAGACCTGCTTTTCAATATTACAGGTATTTATACAGCGCTGACAATTGACGCAGTGCTTTTACATTGTATACATTCACTTCAGTCCCTGCCCTCAAGGAGCTTACAATCTATAGCACATGCATGCATACAGGAGCCAATTTACCTTCCAGCATGTCTTTGGAGTGTGGGAGGAAACCCATACAAGCACAGGGAGAACATGCAAACTCCTTGCAGATAGTGTCCTGGCCGGGATTTGAAACAGGGACTCCCAGTGCTGCAAGGCAGAAGTGTTACACACACACACACACACACACACACACACACTATACCACTGTGATAGCCAATCAGCTTTGGCAGGCAGGACACCCTCTGAACTTGCTGCACTGTATCCTCTGCTCTGCTGCACCGTTCTTTACATTCACACATAAGGCAGTAGCAGTAACTTACTGATCTAGAGGTTAAGTGGTCACCTGCTTGTCTTTCTGGTCAGGCCTTGTGTCTAGCCAGCGGTTTAGTGCCATTTTTAGTGTTCGGTTAGGAGTGAGAAGAAGGTTCTCTAGTGGAAGGTTGGTCATAGGACTTGTCCTCCTTGTACTAATCCAGCTTTCGATTGCGCTTCTCTCATACGAATAACCATCTATGAAGTTATAGAAAGACACATTGTTCATGTAAATACAACTTTTCTATACCGATTTATAAAGAAGTCTGGAAAAAACAGGATTTGTGTTCTTATCCTTAAAATCCTTTTTATGGAATCCGTTCAGGGACACAAACATTGAGAATCAGATTTTACTGCCACCTACGGGAGGCATGGACACTGGCAAACAGAAATATTGTAGGCCAGCACCAGGATAACCTCTCCTCTACCCAGCATGCCCTGGTTTGTATTAAAGCAGTACAAAGAACATAAAGAGGGGCAGTATGGACACCAACGACACGGTGTATTGTAAGTACAAAAATACTTTTTTCTTTCTCGTCCATTGAGAGACAGGAAAGCAGATACGGTTGGGATGTTCAAAACAGTCCAACTGAGGGGCTGGACAACAAAAGCAGCAACAACCACTATCAGGCCAAAGGATACCTGGGGACTGCCTACAGCCCACCTGAAGGACCAACACCCCAATCTGAACCAGATGAGGTCGAGTTTTCTACTAGATAGGCGAGCCGCCAACACAACCACAGGGAAGGCACAGAGACTCAACCTAAAGCTTGAGACCTAGATAGAGGGTCACCACTAGCAGGAATGACTCCACATGGAAGAAGAAAGCACAGAACCTGAACCAAGACCAGGTGAAAAGGAATTGGGTGCATGGAAGGCACCCCCCACAAAGGTAGGAGGAATGGAAAGGGCAGGAACAGACCCTTCATCTCAGACTGCTGAGATAGAATCACCAGAAAGCAGTGAAAGTCAAGCTAATGCATCCTCTCTGATACCCAGAGGTGTCACTGATCCACTGCAGAAGGAACCTGCCTAAATCTGACCCCAAGCTAGCGCAACAAAAACGCTGCAAAGAAGCTCCTATACCTTTTCAGGCGTAGGCCGTTTTGTAGCGCGTTCAGACGGGCTGAAATAAGGCAAGGTGTGAACCATACCCATAGAAAACAATGGGATTGTCATGTTTGAGCGTTCGTAGAGCGCTGAACGCGCTACAAAACGTACAGGTGTGAACCAGGCCTTAATCCAGCTGGTCAGCAGAAAAATTCATTGTTTTTAACATTTCAAGTGAAAAACAACAAAGGATTTGATTGCATACATTTGCAAAGACATGTAGGGCCACACCGCCAGGTCAAAAGTCCCCAACGCCAAGGATTATTCACACCTATGCTTTGAATGGCACCCCGAGGCGCTAAAACATTAATGGGTGATGCACCCAGACTGCAGCGCACCACACAGCATACTGTACATTGTTGTGCACTGTGTAGGAAAATATGGGCCATGCGAGATTTATCTATTTGAATGCGTCACAACATATCCAAAATCAGGCAAGTTGGAAACTTAGTGTATAGTCGGTGCATGAAGGCGGCAGTGTGTCTTTACATGTATTTGCAAATGAATGCAACAAAAAAGTCTGTTTTTAACCTAAAAAATTGGAACAGCTAATTGGGTCCTTTCCACTGAGTACTGGGGAATGTTTGTATTATGATTGCATTACCTTACCCATGTGCACCTCCTTCAAGCTAGTTATAACTTGAGTCCAGTGGCTGCCATTTCTTTTTAGAATCACACTAACCCATTTATTTACATGTATTGCCACCACCAGTGATTCATCACATATAGCAGTGGCATTGTACATTTTAATGAAAAGAGGGTGCTGTGGAGATGCCAGATTGCTGTGATTACCAGAATTCACCAACCAATCAAAAAGATTTGAGTCGGGTGACCTGTTGAGTGGTCTATGTGTTATTATTTTACTCAGGGGCAATTCAGAATGTTACAACATTACCTTCTGTGAAAACAGCATGTCCACCCAATCTGAACAACCCGAGATACAGACAGCTCATGTTATATGTCAATTTTGACTTTCCTGCCAAACTCTTGGTTCCACCCCCTGAGCTTCCTTAAAGATCATCTTCTATGGAAGCCATTTATCACATAAGACTTGGGCAGGGCCAATCTTTTTAAAGTCTGTTTACTCTTTCCCTAATATTTAATGACATTGATATTTCAAAGTCCTTTTTTGTTTTTGTAAAGGCCGGAAACTACCTAACTTTTAGGCTTTAGTCATTTTATGAACAAACCCCAATTCTTTATTTTTTACAGTTAGTAGATTTGAAGTCACACATATTACCAAGAAGCTCTTGTTGCCCCTCCATGTCTTGTTGTAGTTTCCGTTCAGTGGCAGGCAAGGTATTTTAAAAGGTAAAAGTATTTTCTTGCACAC